CGGGCCGAGAGCCCAGCCCGCCGGGAGCCGCCAGCCCCGGCGGCTTGGGCCCTGAGCGCCCTTGGGGGAGGGCAGCCATCGAAGCACTGACCGTGAAGGAGGTTGTTAATTGGGCGGGTTAAAGTACTTTAGGAGAGGAGGGGGGGGGGGGAAGAAAAAAAAACAGAAGGGGATGTGATCATTGGAGAGTTCTTCTGCAGGAGAAGCACGGTATGCCCGAGTGGGGCCCAAGACCTTCTCAGTGAAGTTATTTGCCTCCATGCATGGAGGCAAAAAAAGGTGTTATCTACAATAAATTTATGTAGAATAAAACAGGCTGCATAATTAAGCAAGTATATAACCAGCTTGTCCTTACTGGAAAGTGACTGCAGAGAAAAAGCATGATAAAAACTTACCTGTGGAGAAGCACGGTATGCCCGAGTGGGGCCCAAGACCTTCTCAGTGAAGTTATTTGCCTCCATGCATGGAGGCAAAAAAAGGTGTTATCTACAATAAATTTATGTAGAATAAAACAGGCTGCATAATTAAGCAAGTATATAACCAGCTTGTCCTTACTGGAAAGTGACTGCAGAGAAAAAGCATGATAAAAACTTACCTGTAAAATTCATCTTCTCTTCATAGTCTTGGTTCTACCTATCCTTGCTGTACCAGCAGCCATTTCAGTAGGATGACCTAACTTCGGCAGGAGGAGTTGGCATTTACTCCCTTTTAAATTACCTTTATGGCTAGTGGAGATCGTTTCACTGAAAGGTTTTTAGGTGGTACCCCCATATGAAATGTTTGACTGAAAGGATTATCAAACAGTGAGAATAAGCTTAGTATGAGCTGCTCGCATCCTTTCTTTGCTTGTGTCTGTAACCTGTATTTCCTACAAAAAACTGAAAAGAGAATCTCTGAGTTCAGGTTAGCATCTTCAGCTTAGTCCAGCTTGTGCAAAAGTGTCAAAACCTGTTTGATTTCTCTAGCTGAAAATAATTTTCCTAATATGTATGTAACTTTCAAATAGGTTTAGAAATGTTCTCACAGCCATTGTGTACTGAAGTTGGGAGTAGAAGTGTTTATGTAGACCATTACTATATTTTGATTGTTCTCTGTGAAAAGATAGGTTACCTCCTAGAAAGTGAAACTCACTGGAAATCTCAGCAGCCTCTAGATAGTCTTTGCACTGAGGCTAAAACCATCAATTTCTTATCTTCCTTTCTTCTCCCTGCCAAAGTCAACCACCTAGCTTTAACTTTTTATTTTAAATAAAAGTCTTCATGTCTGTGTCTTTTGTGTTGCCTGTACTCATGACTTTGTTACCAAAGGATGAGAATACTGTGAGACAGACAGCAGCGCTGGCTATATGTCTCAAAAGATTTGTCAGTTGCAGAGATTTTTGTTAGTTTATGCTAGCACTGCCTCAAAGACTTGAAGGAATGTGAGGCCTTCATTACTATGAATTTCATTTTAAATTCACAGTTAAGTGTTGCTCATGGAGATTGATTGTCTTGTGGTCTGTTTTTGGTTGCATAGCCATAGGCAGGTAAGGTTTGATTTCTATAGTTCCGTTGTTCTGCACTTTAAGTGAGCCATTGCTTACACATAAGCAATGAATGAATGTAATCATTTTATGAGACTGTGTTGTCTACACTGATATAAAAGACAAACCAGTAAAAGAGGGAGATGCCTATTTTACAAAGATTTACAGTTGCTTATGAAAATTATCCACAAGTCAGGTCCTAGATGAAAAATTGTAATTTTAATTTCAGGCAAACAGTCTTCTGCTAGTAAAGTGTTTTCAAGTTCATGGGTATCTGGTAGAGTGTTGATTTCCATTTGGATCCCACATTTCCTTAAAAGAAAATACAGTATCTAAAATACTTGTGTCTATTTTGGCTGATGCAGCAAATGCAGCAGCAGACGACTTATGCAGATGGCTAGCATGCTATTTTTTTCCCTAGCAGTGTTTGCAAACATACACTCTCCTCTTTGTAAGCCAAAGGAAAGGTAGTTTGTACTAGGTTCAATAAAAGTAGGAAACACTTTTAACTTGTGTATTTCTGTGGCTGAAATTTGTGTTCATTGGCCTTTTTTCTTTTTTATTTAACTCTTACATGATATTAGTTTGTGAAATGAATCCTTGGCTACAAAAGTGCTATTATTGGTGAAGTTATCCAACCTGTTTTTTAGTCCTACATAGAGATTAGAATGTCACCACCAAACTGGTCTTTAATTCTGGTCTCCAGAGTAGTAATGTTAATGAACCCCTTCACTGAAACAAATGTATTTTTGGTGAGCCTCTTGGATTGCAGAAACAAAAGGACTCATTATTGATTAAATGGTCGTATTGTGATGATAGCTTTACAAGTGTAGTTGGTTTAAATATATTGAAATTTCATACTTTGAAAAGCACAGAAACTGTAATCTTGGTAAGGAGACCTGAGTGCTGTAATAGTAAAATATTAAAGTGAGCTGCAGGACAAAAGATGTTACTGCAGACACTTGACTATTGTGCAAACATCTGTAGATGCTGCACTCTTCTTTATGTAGAACATTGTTTTCCTCTCTGCATTTGATTTAAATGGCCAAGCTTCACTGAACAAAGACAGGATAATATATTAGTGTAAAGTCTGATAACATTTTGGCAATTGTAGTTGTACTTGTATGCAATGCAGGCTGCAAGAATACCTTTTATTTCATTAATTTAAAAATACTTAGAACCAACAGCCTAGTTATTTATATCAGAATGAGTTATCCGATTATGTTACAGTACTTGCTTTATTTCAGAAATTGGAAATAATAGTTTCTGTACATACACATGTGCATATACATACTCAGAAACAACAAATCCTAAAGGCCTTTTCCACTTCAGATGATGCCAGTTCAAGTGTCTAATGTTTCAGAACTCTGGCAGTCTCTAGAGGACTTAGTTGCAGTGGTTTGAGATGGTATTTCCCCTTTCTGCTTTTTTCCACAGAAGTTACAGGGTGCATAGACACATCAGGTGCTTCAGTCTAGAGTCTCCTTTATTAACTTTAAATAATTGATAAAGGTGAGTGTGAATTAATATGCCAATTTGTGAACTAGCATGTCTGAAGCAAAGGCAAGTGATGTCCTTATCCGTCACCCTAATGCCAGAGTAATTTCTAGCAAGCAGTTGAGGAAATAACACCAAACTCTTGCAAGGAAGTTCATTAGACTCCATCTGTCAGTGACTTTAGATCAGTTTTGCATGACTTACATTCCTCAAGAGCTACATCTCAGAGCTGTGACCCGGGAAATGAGAGAGATCAAACAATTAGCAACTAGCTCAATTAAAAATACTTTTAAACTGCTTTCCCTCTGTATATTTTTGTTTTCATTCAGGGACAGGGGATGAATTCTTTCTACAGTTGTATCCCTATATAAAATGCTTATTCTTTAGACTAATTAATATGTTTACCAGATGTGTAAGCCTATACTTACTAGATGGAAAATAATCCTGCATTTTGAATTACTGTAAAATGAATACCGTTTCCTAAACAGTTCTTTCCAGGTGCTTTGCCCTTCTTCGAATGCTAATCAGATCTGAACATAGTTAGAGTCTGTCTTATTCCATAACCTGCTCTCACTGCATTTTCTCTGAATTTTCTTCTAAAAATATTGCTTGCTTGAACCCTACTGGCAGAAATTAAAAGAAAAGCCACTCATTGGGAATGACTTTCCAGGCCTTATTAGGACTACCCAAACAGTAAGACCTCCAGCAATGAAGAAAAGACAGCCTGCTGAGATGCCGTTATAGTATAGTTGGCTGTGTAACT